TCCCACACCGAGGTGCACCATGAGTGAAGGATCCGCATCCCGCCACGACCCTCGCACGCTGCCAACTCCATGTGCTTTCATTTTCATTCTTATTTGTAATAAACACCTCTCTGAGACCTGTTTTTGTCAGATCTCCACAGCTTTTGTTCGATCAGTTACATATTTTAATTGCATGTGCATTTTTTTTATTTAAACCTCCATTAACCCTTAAATGCATGAATGTTTTGCCAAACATTATTACATATTCTGGTCTTTAGCAACCCGGACATATATATACAGCACGGATGGATCTTTTATAACTGCTGCAATAGCAAAAAAAACTCTTGATATTTTAAGAACAATTCTTGACTCGAGACTTGAATGCAAAGACTCGAGACTTACTTGTGACTTGCAAAACAATGACTTGGTCCCACCTCTGCTATTAACATATTACTAATGTATTGCATAACCTGGCTAAGAGCTGAGGATAGAGTTGAGGATAGACTCTATTCAGGGGTTTATAGATCTGGCCCTTGAGGTCCACTTTCCTGAAAAGTCTAGCTCAACCCTCATTAAACACATGTGAACAAGCTAATCAAGGTCTTCAGGATTACTAGAAAGTTACAGGCAGGTGAGTTTAGATCTAAAGTAAACTCTGCAGGAAAGTTGACCTCATGGGCCAGAGTTGAGAAAGATATGCAGTAACTTATGCACTTCCACACTTCTTTCATTTATATCACACTTTCATTTACATCTCTGTTTAATGGGATCTGGGGGGAAAGTATACTAAATTTTATCAATCACAAACATATTTTGACAGTTTCTCGAAATAAAGAATGCAAAAGAAGTGCTGCACGGGGTATAGGGTTCTTGTCTCGGTGCTCTTTGGGTGCAAGGGATGATTCAACTCATAAGAATAATAGTAGTCCAAGGCACTAGAATCGTATTCAAAAAGTCTTATTTATTAAAAGTCTTATTTTTACTTATTTAAAAAGCCTTTATTTCATCATGGCTATAAGTTTTAAAAACAGGTGACAAGTGCACACCTATGCATTGCGGCTATTTTGCCTTCGTCAGGGTGTGAGTAACAAACACAATCTGAGTTCATTTTGAGCAGCAATGAATTAGTCAAATAACAATCACCTGGTCGTGCTACACAGGACAAACAGAAGAGAGGAAGTTCGACGATTACATATCTAATTAAATCAAACACAATATAATCATATATAAAGGAGGAAAAAAGAAAGAAAGAAGAAAATTACATTATTACTCCACTATTTTGACAGTTTATCAGCACATGAATCTGTGTATCATTCGATCATTCGTTTTTTGATTTAATATTGGAAGTAGAAAAATTAGAAAACGGCTCCTTTTTAGTTTTTTTGTTTTTTTCCAAAAGAGGAAAAACTAAAATTCTGCTTAAATGTTCGTTTTTCGTTCATGGGTGGAAAAATGAATAAACAGCTTGAATATTCGATATCTACATGTGGGCGGGAATTAAACGCCCCTTTCTGCTGATTGGTCAGCCGAATATCAAACCGTGCCATGATCATGAGTTCTTCCGCAGTATCATGCAGCAGAATAATAGTTACACAATTAAAAATATACATTTTACCATACGACTATAAATGACAGAGTATTAAGTTATTTCCCCTCGATGGGGAAAAAAATCCAAGTGAACGTCAATCAGTACTCAATATTAACTTAAACTGCTTTAAATATGACTGCTGCTTATTTCCTGTGCACTTCAATACTGGGGCGCGTTTCCCGTACAACTACGTAACTCGCTGATTAACCACTATAGTACGATGCATCATTGTGGAAATTAACTAGCTAGTCACGACTGTTTCCCGAAAACATGGTACCTGTGTCGCAGATCCATCGTTTAAACCACGTTGGTTTGAGCTGTCGTTATGACGTTGTTCTACTTCTTCTTCGATCTAATAGCCGACTGCTCCCATGAGCATATACCGCCACCTACATTCATTTGGTTTTATTTTCTCTTTTCTTTGACTCGAATTACACTTTTGGAGGTGGAAAATAATAAAATCCAGCTATTTTCAAAGCTGAAAAACAGCATTACGAATGCTGACAGACAGAAAATCTGGGCAGAAATCACTCAAAAAATAAATGCTGCTGGCCATGGGTACGGACGAAGCCCAGAAGAAGTCAGGAATAAGTGGAGGGACTTCACAAGTGTGTCAAAACGGAGGGCTGCGGCACGTAAGAGGGAAGCAAATTCCCCTGATTCACCTCCGTCTGAGGCCTCCTCATGTGCTGAGTAACGTCCTCTGACACAGAAGGCGACGCATTAAGTCAGGCAGTGTATAATAAATGCCTGCATAGGGACACATTTTACCACCCTTGACTCACTATCTGATGATGCCATCTTAAGAAAGTTCTGGCTTCCAAGGGCCAAGATCCTTAAACTACTACAGGTTGTGAAACCACATCTTCAGAGGGCAACAAGAAGAAACAACGCCTTAAGTTCAGCTGTGCAGTTATTAGCTACACTGCATTATTATGCTGTTGGAAGTTTTATGGAGGTGGTGGGTGATGGCCTGGGGCTCAGCAAATCTTCAGTCAGCAAAACTGTGACAGCAGTAACACCTTTGCTGTTACAGCTTATGAAGAACATCCTGATTTCCCCCCAAACTCCTGAAGAAATCAACAGTTCTACAGTATTGACAACATCCCCAGAGTGATTGGCATCATCGATGGCACCCTTATCCCAGTGTCAAGCCCTGTGGTAAATGAGCCCTTGTACATTTGCAAGAAGGGCTATCCAGCACCAGGGTATGTTCACTGACATTGTGGCAAAATGGCCTGGAAGCACACGACTCTTTTGTGTGGGCCAAATCTGCAGTTTGCCAGGTGATAGAAGAAAAAAAAAAGTTCGGCAAAAGGCGGGATCGAACCCGGGTCGATCGCGTCAAAAAGCTAAAGCCTTGCGTGTATCCATCTGCGCCACTGGAGCTGATGATTTACGACCGCTTTTAACTAAATGTAAATATATACTCCGTATTTTTTTATTCCATAGTAAGGGTAATTCATACAATACATTTAACCTGAGCTACTTTAATACCATCTCCGAACTTTCTACCACGACTCTGCTGTTCTTCGGCTGGTTCTTCCTGTATACGTTGATTGACAGATGTCTCGTCCAGTCAGCGGTGAGTAATCCCAAACCAATGGCGCTGTCTCAAACTACACCTATACATTCTCTGTGGTTGTTTTTGTCAGAACAGCCTCACTGCTTGATTATAAAAGTTGCAAACAAGTTACAATTTTGTGTCTCTTTCAGAGATCTAAAATAGTTTATTTACATTATGAAGGAGAATTAAGGAAGGGTTACCTTCTCGTACTCTCACTCTCTTTCTACACAATTATAGTACTACTGCAGAAACTGGTTATTTTTAGTCTGTTTTGTGGTCAACATGTGTAAGCAAATACAAGTAGTATCTTATCTACAGATTTTAATATGACGAATCAAGATATGAATTTAGGTGAATTCATTATGCAAAATTCACTTTTACATGTTGTTTGAATATAAATGTGTGTTGGCAGTCACATTTTACAAGCCCCGCCCATGACCCTGAGTAAGCTGCACACCATGTTTATCTTCATGCTAGAGCATTTAAAAGCAGCAGAAAAGTAAGAAATGTCTTCTTATTAGAGCTACAGAAATTATTAATTCAAGTGCAGTGAGTGATTTTCTGTTTTTATTTTATTGTTTGGGTCATATTATCAGCATAGACAGCAGTATATGTACTGTATATTATGCTGCTGTCACTTCATATACAGTACATATCTAATATAAACATGCAATTTATTTCCCAGCAGTTTAACTTCACAGACATAATCGACTGTGTTTTTGTAACTTATGCATAACATAACTTAACATATTTTCCCTTTGGTCAAATTTGACTTTTACATCCAAATATTCAAAAGTATGGTATCTTACTGTTTACTCCACTACATTTAATAAAAAGTGTATATGTATATGAGGTCGCAATCGGAAAACTACTGATATAAAATATGAGGGCTAAATAATAATAATAATAATTTTAAAAAAAACGTTAAAATGTAAAATGAACATTGTTTTCTAAAATTATGTAGCTTTATTTGGTATATTGCTCATTTGTACGTTATTTGGATAAAAGAAAAAATATATTTAAATACATTTAATTAAGCATTTAGAAAATGTAGACATCTAATGCATTCACACATATACACACAGAAGAGCAGAACATAAATCTTTTTATCAACGGTTTTCTAATCATCTGATCTTTCAGTCTGATGCGGAGAAAAGTTCTGTGACAGACAGAAACGCCATCTGAAAAATAAAATACAATAGCACACAATCAATAGGCAAATATTAGAACTAAACATGTTTCTGTGTCCCATAATCTAGATTTTGTACACCTTCCATTCCAGAAAATATTTGTATTCATATATTTTATTAAAACATTTTTGGAGAAGTTACATCAGTGTGCAGACAATTTATTTGCTTTCTTTGCTTGTAATTGACCCATTTTTGTTCTGCACCTGAGCCCTTTTTGGGTTTGTGGGATGTGCATGCCTTTTTTGAAATTTGCATTCATATATTTTGTCATTTTGCACGAAGACTAGCATAATATTTCATGGAACATTAAAGACAACTGAAGTTTAGATGTTGCTAAAGAATAAATCACAATAATGGGAATTTGTTAATACTAACCTGTTCTTCTCAGCGCCGACGTCTGTGCTCACACTTACTGTCAAAATTAAAAAAAAAAAAAAAAATTCTAACAGCAGAACTTTTATAGTATTGATTATGGATTGATTATTCGGTATTTGAAAAGAGTATTAAATAAGTTTTACCTCCTTCTATTACAGTGAGATGAACAGGACTCACTGCCTGTCCAGCAGAGCAGAAGTACCAGCCAGAATCAGTCAGTCTCAGTCCAGTCATCAGCACAGTGAAGGTTCTCCCATCATCATCATCACTGATCTGGACTGAGGAATTCTGGGATGTGTCAGTCCTCCCCACTGTGTAACAGCTCTGATCTTTATATCTGCACCACTGTTTAACTTCATTCTGATATCCAGAACTGTAGAGACCACAGTGAAGGTTCTCCCATCATCATCATCACTGATCTGGACTGAGGAATTCTGGGATGTGTCAGTCCTCCCCACTGTGTAACAGCTCTGATCTTTATATCTGCACCACTGTTTGAGTTTATCCTGATATCCAGAACTATAGAAACACTGAACACTGATATCACCACCTTCATGTCCAGATACACTGCTGCTCACCACAGACACATCAGGAGCTGAACACACACACACACACACACACACACACACACACACACAAATAAATCATTTATTTGTGATTATAAAATACATATTTGTAAGAGAATTTGACATTAGAATTTGATTAAAACAATTGCAAAATGTCTTACCAGATTGAATCTTGAGCTGCGTCTCATATATTATATTTATCGGTGGTTGTTCTCCGGTCTCCACAATACAATAATAATGCCCATTGTGTTCGTTCTGCAGGTTTCTCATAGTCACAGAGACTCTGATCAGGATGATCTATTACTGACAGATTCTCATCTGTTGTGTTTGTGTATGTTTTAGATTTATCAATCTCTGAGAACCAGTATTTCTTCTGCTGTGTGTATTTCTTGCCATAATGACATGGGATGGTGACAGATCCTCCAGTCTGAACTGTTAATCTATGGTCTGACCAAGCGTAGTAGCTTACAACACCTAAACAACACACAAACCTTTATTATATCCAACATTAACAAATAATTTCTTAATTTGTTCCATCTTCACTTAAAACACATTAAAAACAACATGAACAGCATAACATGTGACAAACCGAGAAACCACAAGGAGTCAAGTCAAGTCACCTTTATTTATATAGCGCTCGAATGAGTTAAACCTGTATCCTGTCTTCTGAGTAACATTGAGAATATCACTATATATTGTTGCAACACCGCTGCTACGACCAGTCTGACGGGGCTCATGCTTATAAGGAGCTTTTATCGTGTACAAAAATGTGTTGCTCATAATGGGGGAAAATTCAAGAATTTGAATGAAAAACGCTGGAAAAAGTGGCTTGTAAACCTGCGTCTGCGGTCGGGAGGAGCGAAGCCGGATAATGCTCGTGTG